TGCTCCGGTTGGCTACGGAACAAGCTTGATGACGAGGAAGGAGTAGAAGATATTGAAGATCTAAACTCAATTCCTTATTGGTCCAACGACTTGGATCATGACGTCGACGAGCAGGAGGCCTGCGTTCATATCGGCGATGGAGATAGCTCTGATACCATGATACGAACAAGCAAAGAAGACAAGTGGGAAAATAATAATTCTTGATATCACATTCAACAGGTTACAACCCTTATTTATAATAGAGCTAGAGATACAAGGTCGGCTACCTAAGTTAGAATACAAAGAGTAAATGTACAGCCAATTTTCGATAGGACTATCTCTCCTAGAATTAAGGAGATAATGATAGGATACTAATTGTGATAGAACTATCTCTCCTTAGTTCTAGGATAGTAATTTTGACAGAATACTAACACGATGTAAAGGGGGTCTTTCTGAGATGATTCTCGCTTCGGGTTGCTAGTCCTCCAACAGAGACAACCTTCGTGGAATATGATCAAGAGATCAATCCGAGTAGTGCGAGCCTTCCAATGTAAGAGTGAAAATGTAGGTCACTCTGATCAAGCCTTCTAATGTAGAAGTAGTGGAATATGATTAGGACGGTCTTCATCTTTTTCACGTGATTTCCACTACTGTAGTCGACTCTACTCGACTGATGAACGAAATAGGGGATAGGGGAGACCGGTAAATGGTTGGGGAGGTCAACAACATAGAGGAACAATGGAATGATGATGGAAAAATAAATAAATAAAAGAGGATGAAAAACAGAGATATTCAATGGTGATGAGAATGGAGAAAGTGGATAAAATATTCGCCACTAAGGAGTCGATGTTCTCGTCAAGAAGACGATGAACAATGATCAAAATGGGGAGGGGGAAAGATGGGGAATGAGAGAGGGTAAGAGAGAAGAAGAAGGACAAAATGAATGAGAGAAATGGAGTCGTGGCAGAGAGTTCTCGTTGGGATTCCACCCCTGCGTCGAGTCGAGAGAGGGTAGACGATGAACAAGGGACGACCAGGTGGTTTGGTTCGGCAAGATAAAGAAAGGAGACAGTAGCAATGAAAAAAAAAAAAGAGAGAGAAAGTGGGGAAGCGAGCTCATGGGTCACAGCCATCTCTATCAGTCTGATTCAAAGAAAAAAAAAAGAGTAAAGCGGTATATATTTAGTCGTGATTGGGAATCGATACATACATTGCCCCTATTTGATATATTTTTAAGAAAATTAGCCTATACTGGTTATTATATAAAAGGTTTTACTTTTATCGGTATTAGGGATGAAATGTTATTATCGGATAGAATCTCTATATTATATTACATAATATAAAATAGTTTTAGATAAGTTTACAAAAAAAAAAGAAAAAAAATATACAAGTAAGAATGATGGGAGTGAGGCGGGGCAAAGTTGGGAATTCCCATTCCCCACAGGAATGAGGATGGGGTTAAGATTTTTAATCCCGCAGGTAAAACCCAGCCCCACCCCGCCTAGTTTCCATTCCTAATATATTCTCAACGTGCAAAAATTTTGGTTGCATGAAATCCAGGCTCAAGTTAGGATTTGGAACCACAATTTAGGCAACATTTTTTCTTCGTTTATGGGTTTTAAGCACAAACTCTGCCCATCTTGCTCTGTTTCAATGACTCTGTTTCATTTCCCTCCCCACCTGGAGAAACTTTCTGTCACTGAACACCACCACCTATCTTATTATCCCCATTCCTTGCCACATTTCCATTTTTCAATGATCCGATTCAATTCAGCATTATAAGATAATTGTGTAGCCATCTGAACCGTGCATTATTTCCTTTTCAGCATATTCTTTTCCACTGCCTACATGAATACATCAAGACAAATTATAATCACTTATTTGAGCTGGTATTTGGCCCAATTAATGATTCATCGGGGGCCCATCAATTATCCTCTACGGCTGCATTTGTTTGAAGAAAAAAAATAAAAAAAAAAAGAGAAGATGAGTTAAAGTTACTAACAAATTTTGTAAATTTGTTTAAGAAATTTCCCAACTTTCTGTTTCTCTCTTACAATTATTATTATTTTTAATTTTTATCAAACCAAATATAGGTTAAAGGTGAGACACCATATGATCTCCTTGACTTGTAGCCCCAAAATGAAAGATGCTGTTTTTTCCTGTTTGGGTTTTGGCAACCATCAGAATCAAAAGCCAACTGCCGTTTTATATCTGGGATGAAATCATACAAACCCTCAGCTGAAGAGTGCATCATAGTGATGGAATTTGGTTCAGTACATCCGTTTGTTTGTAACCATATATTGCACTGTTACCAAATACAAATTTGCACATTTTTTTTGTCTCATTTGCATTAATTGACAGTGTAAATTTTGTAACTAAAAATGATGTAAAATTTGCCCCACTTTCCTCTTATCTTATTTCTCTCCCTTTTAATGCTGATGACCACATCAATTTGCTTTCTACCTTATTCTTCTCAAACAAATAACCTTTTGGGAGCCACACAAGCTTACTTTCTAATGTCTATTATACTTCTTAAAATAAACAAAACAAAGTCAAATTTGGAACAAAAATATAAAAGGATTTACGCTTGACTCATGGAAAACGCTTGTAATTTAATCTTTATTCCTTGGAGTTAGAGGTGTCAATGGACCAGTTTTGGATTGGACTCCATCCAATCCAAAATCAATGGTCCAAAGTGTTGAATTGGACCAGTCCAGACTTAAAGGTCCAAAGTATTTATAGGATTGGATTGGACCTTGGAATGAGTTGAATTGAACCCATTGATAGAAAATACGAATATAGGTGTCAATGTACCAGGTTTAGGTTTGGATTAGAACTAATCTAAATTATAACAAATTTGAACAGATTGAACAGTCCAGACATTGGACCGGACCGGATTGAACCAAATCCAGTCCAATTGACACCCCTACTTGGAACAAACAAAATGGAGGAGATAGTTTTCTTGTTTCTGCATCTCTTGTACTGATATCTTTCAATTCTGTTATGCACGCCAAACCGATTGATCACTAACTGGAGAAAGTGATATAGACAGGTATATATTATTTTTTGTTGTTCGTTCTATTCACAAAATTAAGCTCAAGCTTGTTCTTTGATGAACAAGGTCGTCCATTCAAGTAATAATCCCATGTCATCACAATGAACCAGTTCAAGAAACAGAAAATATAAAAGATATATGGTAGGTTAAAGAATCTAAATTAAGCAATCCTACAAACAAAAGCAAAACATAAAAAAATAAATAAATAAGACACATGAGAGTTGACTCTTTTTGCTTATGAATGGGGAGAGAACCATGACTGGGAAGCAGTAATTTTACTTGGTTCAGAGCTTTAATTTACATCCAAACAAAAGCAGGAAAAAAAAAAGCAATTATAATTTCTTTTCATGTGAGAATTCTTATCTGCCATTTTCCGAGGAAAAATGTTGATAAATGAGGAATTTATGCATCTCTGATATTCCTCTCTCTTTAGGCACAATGGAACCCATGAAAAGATGCACAATAAGACAAAGTTAGACAAGTCTTATCATATGTCCTAAATTGTCTACAAGGCAAGGAAAATGGAGTTATTTGAAGCCATCATTTACTAGCATTCCTCTTCTCTTTTGGTAAATAGATAAAATTAATACTGAGATTAATGAGTTTTTCTTTTGAAATTAAACTTTAGTTATGCTACAGGACATATAATGTAAATCTAGATATGTAAAAGATGATACTTAAAACCAGCAGAGACCTAAATTATTGCAGCCAATGGATTGGGTCTACATGATAGAACTGAACCAACCAAACCTATTATGTCGGTTTTAGTTTAGTAGGGTTCGTGTCCCCATTAATAATTGGGTTAGGGCCAGGTCTTATTGTTTCAAACTGATTATATAGTCAATATAATATATAAAAATTTATTGGTTTTGTTGTAATTTTTGTTTTATTTTATATTTAAAAGGATAGATTTCATACATAATATATAAGATAATTGTGATAAAAAAACTTGTTTTATCAACATATAATCGATCAGTTTACTATTTACTGTCATTTTATTGTTAATTGGGTCAGACCCGATTATCCCAATTAATAACTGCTTTGGCTTTGGGTCTATGTTAATTTATAGAATCGATTAATAATTGGTTTGTGATGGTCCACCCTGTTCTGAACCAGGCCCAACACTAACTCAAATCAAACCCATAGTGAAAGTGCATTGGACTAGAGTAAGGCCTCTAACATAAAAGATATATTTTGACTTCTAGCTTCAGGGCCATTATTCAACTAATATGGCCTTAGAGAAAGATGGGGTAATGGGATTTAATTTGGTCCAATAATAAAACATTCCTTTGCTAGAAAGAAAATTTTGAGATGTTGAGGGGTTATTGGTTGTTATTGTGGGGTGTTGATGAGTATGCATGAGAATAGTTTATCAATATAACTTTGTGTATTGGAAAGAATAAGGTTTATCAATATAACTTTTGTGTGTGAGAATAGTTTCTATGTTGGGTTGTACATACAGACAGGTTTAGATGTCAAATTTGTGTATTGGAAAGAATAAAGAACGGTTTGAAAATAAAAGTGATGACTTCTTGCATGAATAACCTCTGCATAAATGATTTTAAGTAAGTTTAAGTGAAAGATTAAAGAAGATATGATTATTGGGTCCTCTTTTTTTTGTAGAAAGCAATCTAATGTGACTGGTCCAGACTCCAGCCACCTAAGGCTGGCAATGATAAAGCACAATTCAGTTTCATATAGTGCTTTCTTACACATGTCATTACACATGTCATCGTGGGTTTTGCCTGTTCCAATAAAGCTCAATGTTGACTGGTACTGTCATTTGCAAACCCAATTCTTGGATGTGGATTTGTGAGTTAAAAAGAAAGGGAAATTGGTAAAGTAGGTGAAACTCAAAAGCAAGTACATTGATGCAGGTTGGTGCTTGGGGTGAGGG